TTATCATAGAATGTGTGTAATAAAAGATGCCTATACTGGCCACCAGAGGAACTCTGGTATCGGAGTGGTTATGAGTGGGGCTGCTAATCTTAAGATCTGCAGTTCAAAACTACCAGCTGTCCCATGGAAGAAAGAAGAGGCATTCTGCTCCCGTGAAGATTTATAGCCTTAGAAACCCTATTTGGGGTTGCTATGAGTCAGAACTGACTCCACAGCACATTACCACCACCATCACCATATCAGCCAATAAACATATGAAAAAATGCCATTAGCCGTTGTTGTTGTTGTTGTTGTTAGGTGCCATCAAGTAGGTACCATCTCATAGCAACCCTATGCACAACAGAAAGAAACACTGTCAGGTCCTGGGCCAACCTCACAATTATTAACATGCTTGAGTCCATTGATACTGTCACTTTTTGCCAACCCATCTCGTTGGGGGTCTTCCTCTTTTTCTCTGACCCTACACCTTACCAAATATGATATCCTTCTCCAGCAACTGGTCCCTCCTGAAGTATGGGAGACCAAGTTTGGCCATCCTGGCCTCCAAGGAGCACTCTGGCTGCACTTCTTCCAAAAAAATCTGTTGGTTCTTTTGGCAGCCCATGGCACTTTCAATATTCTCCTCCAACACTATACCTCAAAAGCATCAATTTGGCTACAGTCTTCTGTATTCATTGTCTGGCTTTCACATGCATATGAGGTTCTTGAAAATACCATGGCTTGAGTCAGGCGCACCTTAGTCCTCAAGCTGACATCTTTGCTCTTCAACACTTAAGAAAGTTCCTGTGCAGCAGATTTGCCTAATGCAATACATCATTTGATTTCTTGACTGCTGCTTCCCTGAGTGTTGATAGTTGATCCAAGAAGAATGAAGTTCTTGATAACTTCAATCTTTTCTCCGTTGATAAACAATATTGGTCCAGTGGTGATTGGTCCATCTTTACATTGAGATGCAATCCATACCGAAGGCTGTGGTTGATAAACAATATTGGTCCAGTGGTGATTGTTCCATCTTTACATTGAGATGCAATCCACACCGAAGGCTGTGCTCTTTGATCTTCATCAGTAAATATTTTAAGTCCTTTCCACTTTCAGCAAGCAAGGTCATATCATCTGCATATGGCAGATTATTAATGAGTCTTCCTCCAATCCTGATGCCACATTTTTCTTCATGTAGCCTAACTTCTTGGATTATTTGCTCAGCATACAGGCTGAATAAGTATGGTGAAAAATTACAACCCTGTCACACACCTTTCTTCATTTTAAACCATTCAGTGTTCCCATGTTCTGTCTGAACATCTTGATCCATGTATGGATTCTTCATGAGCACAATTAAGTGTTCAGGAATACAATGTTGCCCACAGCTTGTCATGATCCGCACAATAGAAAGCCTTTGAGTAGTCAATAAAGCACAGGTAAACATCTTTCTGGTAGTCTCTGCTTTTAGCCAAGATCCACTGGATATCAACAATGTTATCCCTCGTTCACGTCCTCTTCTGATTCCAGCTTCAACGTCTGGAAGTTCTCTGTCAATGTATGCTTGCAGCCATTTCTGCATTATTTTTAGTAAAACTTTACTCACATGGGATATCAAAGAGATCATCTGATGATTTCTGCATTCCGTTGGGTCACCTCTCTTTGGTATGGGCACAAATACAGATCTTTTCCAATCATTTGGCCAGATAGTTGTCTTTGTTTTTAGTGTTGAGTCAATTCCGACCCATAGCGACCCTGTATTGGGTTTCCAAGGAGCAGCTGGTAATCTTGAACCACCAACCTTGCAGTTCAAACGACTTTGCAATCTGACGCATTAGCCCACAGTGCCACATGCTTGTCTTTGGTGGTGGTTGGTGGTGATTTGCCGTTGTTGTTGTTGTTGTTAAGTGCCGTAGAGTCGGTTCCCACTCAAAGTGAGCCCATACAGGGTTTCCAAGGCTGTAAATCTTTTTGGGAGCAAACAGCCTATCTTTCTCCCGTGGAACAGCTGGTAGTTTCGAACTACTGACCTTGCGGTTCACAGCCCGATTTGTAACCATCATGCTACCAGATTTGCCGTGGAGTCGGTTCCAACTCATAGTGACCCTGTACACAGTAGCGTAGTGGTTACGAATCGGGCTGCGAACCTTAAGGTCAGCGGTTCAAAACTACCAGCTGCTCCGCGGGAGAAAGATGAGGCTT